AAACCTTTAAAAATCACGAGTGCGATGTTGTGGAAAAGCAAATCATTTAAGAGTTAATCAATTCAATACCTTCAGTTTGGGGCAGTGTCAGCTCCGTTGACCAAGAAATTATTGGCGCCTGGCTCATTGAGCTGCTGCTTGAGGAGGCCCGTTTGTAGTTGCTGACAGTTCTGAAAGAGAGCATCAAGAATTAAGTTACATCAATCAAAAGCTGCAATCGATGACATCATTTCTCCATTTTTAAGTACTTACCTTCGGGGGGACATATGGTCCGCCAGGAACAGCAGGTCCCCGCACAGAGGCCACGATGACCTGTACTGAGGCCCTGCTGCTGCCCCGCTTCGCCCAGTGACGCTAGTCTTGTGGCGCCACCACTACTTCCCAAACTTCTGTCTCAACCTGTACCAGGCTTTCTCCGCCTCTTCAGCTGCAACAAAGAGGGTGCATAACCTCTCGACCATTGAATATATGACCTTAATTCATTCATGCATTCATTTGTCTGAGAAACCTACCAGTCCTAGGAGGCGTCTGAGCAGCGCCAATGCTCTCCCACGCCAGATTTTTGTTGAAATTTTTGCCGGCGTAATTACTCCTTTTTGTTTTTGGCATGCAATGCCGGGTTGGTTTTCACTGAAGCTATGAGACATTTTAATTGAAGAATACTCTCCTCCGAATCCTCTCCTTCCCCTACTACCTCCACCTGCTCTTCTTCTTCCCAAATTTGTTCATGAGCATTCATTTTCTTAAAAAAAAAAAGAGGAAATCAACAAAACCACAAAGTACTCGACGACACGACGGACGACGCAAGCAAGCAGAAGCGCGCTCTATTTCTTTGTTCGTTTCGCGCGAAATCAGCGTGGTAGGGGTTGGAGTAGGCGTAGGAGAGGGACTTATATCATTTCTTACGCCAGTGCCTTTCAACCGGAACCAATAGCCTTACTCCGTACTCTTACTCCCTACTACCCTCATTGCAGACGAGCCTTTACGGAGGCGAGTAGAATGGCAGTCACCCAAACCAGCCGTATACTTTGTGTACATTTTTTAATTTCAGACATGTAGAATACGGGTGGCGTTGATAAGTCTACAGTCATTTTGGCCTGACACAGATCAGAAATTATTTTTGAGAGGGCCATTGTTCTTGTTTCTACTGTTTTCAGATTCATCTTTCTTTGATAGTTTACGCTGAGCTTGGGATTTTAGCTCTAGATAGCACTCATTGTGATAAAGTGCATCTTGTGCCACAAAATCAATGGCGTCCTCCAGCCGGGAGCTAAGCGCCGTGTTTTTGACAATCCCTGCATACAGCTTCATGTTAGAGTCACATCGCTCTGTTCTGACTTGACACAGGAGTCTAAACTGCCTGAAACTAGAGAGAGACCCCTTATCGCCGCAAAAAATATTCTTAAAAATGCATTTTTCTTTGTGGTTTTCTGGATTCGCGCTCCGCGTTTTGTAAGGCGACCCGACCTTTTCTCGTTTCAGTTTCTTTCAAAGTAACTGATACTTGTGGTCATTGATTGTTCTGAAGCAGGTGCTATGTCACTCTGCCTTCATACCCAGCCGCACAGGTTCATCCCCTTTTGTGTGCGTCTTCACTCTCATTCCAGGAACGTGACATCACGTTGAAACGAACGTGACAAAGTGTCATGTTCGTATGAGCATTGTGTCACGTTCGTTTGAATGTGAAGAAGCTGATTTTTGGCCAATTCACACCCAAACGAATGTGACACAATGCTCAAACGAACGAACGTGACATTTTGTCACGTTTGTTTCAACGTGATGTCACGTTCCTGGAATGAGAGTGTTCACTTGACCATCATGTTGACTGTAATATTAAACTCTCCCATCCTGAGGACTATATTGCATTGAAAAGAATGACAAGGAGCTGTCCTGAATTTGAGATTTCCACTTCTTAAATTCTTTAACTGATCGAAAATTGTAAGTTTGAGGAGGCTTCAGGTCAGCTTTGTGGTAAATCCGAAGATGATCATAGAGGTCAACTTTGCTCACAATTTGGCATATTACAAACAAAATTATGCTTTTTGAGACGTTGACTATGTGCACTGTTGCTGCACCTTTTCCAAATGAGCTTTCAAATTATACTGCCTTGTGAAATCTTTGCCACAAGTGTTGCAGACAAAGGCGCTGACTGAATTAACAGGATAAATACTACTGCCCAGTTTAGCACGCAATTGCACTGGTGGAAACCTGTTCAATTTATTATCCTCTTCTTGATAATACCGCGCGCATGGGTGTTGCAGAATTCTCTGCAAATGAGCTCCATGAGGCGCAAGGAGTCTTCTTGGGGCAGCCTCCCGTCGCACACATTGTCCCACTTCGTCATGAGGTCGGCATCATGGAAAACTGCCTCAAGAAGTTGTCTATGCGAGGCAACTCGAGATGACTGCTCCATGCCATCTAGGATTTTGGCAAGGCTTATGAAGAAGTGAAGAGCATTTCTGCTGATGAGTCAGCCCCACCTTGCTCCAAATCTTTGTTCACTCTTTTCCTTCCACATGCAAACCTGAGTCGCCACCAATTCGAAAACATTTCCTCGCCACTCACAGCATTCCACCACTTGTCACTCCTTTGCCACTTGACACTGGCTGCCCCTTCACTTTTTGGAAATGTTTTAATACCACCCGATCCACCACTTTGAATACTAGTTTCTTCACAGTGACATCGGCTGAGGAGCAACTGTGCCTCAGCCAAGGTCTCTGGATTCCGGTCTCTGGCCTTGCTGCTGGAGCTGGCCCCCTCATTCACGGCTCCCACCACACTTTGTGGGACGGCAGACGGGGTTCGCCGAGCTCCGGCCTCTGAGGCAGCCGGCACCAAGCGCGACGAGGCGGCGGGTTGCTGGGATCCGGCGGCGGCACTGCCACGGTGTCCGCCACGGCCTGTGCCGCAACCCCTGGCTCAGTGCTGCGAGCCGCACCTTGACTTCTCCGGTCCACTGACTCGTCTGCGTCCCCTCTCTCGTCTATGGCCTTCCATATCCTCGTACTTTGTTTTAATCTCGACGCAGTGAACGGCTGCTTTCTTCTTCTGCCATAGATCCAACAACTTTTTCAAAAACTGCCACGAAACTGAGCGATCTGGCTCTTCACAGCGATCACAGCGATATGTGACTTACACAAAATAAAATATCGAAATGACATAAGGTGTATCACAAAACTTGAGGTAAAAATTGTTGGAACATGATTAATGAAAAACAATTCAACATTATGTATCAATACTATCAACATGATTAATACAAAACAAACTAAGAATTGGCACATAATGAAAACTTAGAAATGATACAGAAAGAAGCTAAAAATTGAAGGTTGAAAGTTTAAAGTGCACAAAAATTTGTGTGATTTACACTAAATAAAATATCGAAATGACATCAGGTGTATCACAAAACTTGAGGTGAAAATTGTTGGAACATGATTTATGAAAAACAATTCAACATTATGTATCAGTACTATCAACATGATTAATACAAAACAACTAAGAATTGGCACATAACGAAAAATTGGAAATGATACAGAATGAAGCTAAGAAAAATAATGAATTAAATTTTGATATATATGGATTTTATAAAGTTTTGAATTTGGAATTGACGAAAGGGAAGGTAAAAATTGATTGTTAAGGCTAAAGGAAAATAATAATAAAATTTTGAATGTATAAACTAGAAAATCTCCGGCTGGCAGTCCTCGCATGACACCCGGTTCATCATGATTTCTATGTGGAAATTGGCACCATCATGTTTCTCCAAGAAGACCCACCCTTCCTTGGTGGGTGTCCTCTTGTGTAGTGGGCTCCCCATGTCCTCTGGCTGCCCACGCATGACACGCCACTGGGGCCCCTGGTCGCTGAAACCAACCTTGGAGACTGCTGCTCCAGTAATCCGGTGCTGCAAACAAACATGTATATGATGTTATTTCCCCTCAACTGCAAGTCATTACATTAGAAGTAACACACGACATAAACAGTACTTACATTTAAAATCTTCTTTAAAGCTATTGTTGTTTTGCAGTTCCTAATGTCCGGTAATTTCTTTCTCCTAGGATATGCTCTTATGAGGGTGATCGTATAGTAGGATCTGGATTCATTTCCAAGCCTACTCTCCTTGTATACCTTACTGCTTACTGCCAGGAGGCCCACCCCCCGTCGCCTCAAGGCCATATCAATGTCCTACAAACAGAAAGTATGTCATTAAAGGAAACTGGAATACCTGGGATACCGACACTTTCCCATAATTTTGCATTATCCTCACTCACCATGAGTGTCAGGTCTTCATCAACAGGCCCCTTGCAGGGACATGGCAAGCCATAGTGGTCCGCACTGAGCCGGGCCTCCCGGTACTTATGTTGTAGCTCCCGGAAGTCCTCATCGACCACGGGGCGCACCTCAAAAAGCTAGCAAAGGAAACTTTAGATTCTTCGGAGCAATTAGATAATCATGTGTGGTAATGTCCGAGGTATTCATCGCAAAGTCCAGTCTTTTCCGAACACGACGGCATATGATTTATACACGTAAGTACACAACAACACACAAAAATATTGAGCTAAAAGTTAGAACACGCAGAATTGAGAACGAGCTCGATTAAAACAAAATACAAGGAGATTGTAGTCGCGGAGTTGTCTCCAAAGTTTGAAAATATATAGGAGATGAAATTCCTTTAGTTTTTTGTTCGCAATAAACTATAGTTTGGTTGTAATTGCCGTAAAAACAAACGACCATAACCTCACTTTATTTTTCAGATTGCGCTTTTTGACAGGATTCTCACTCTAGTAATTAATTTGAGCGCAGTACAATCATCTCTTAGTATGTATCTGATAAGTGCCATCAAAAGGAAAACTACTAGTAGAATTCATATTGATTTATGAGACAATATGTGTAAAAACTGAGATAGTCGAGTCTCTATCGGGCTCGCGAAGATAGTCGAGTGTCTATCGGGCTCGTGGAGATAGTCGAGTCTCTATCGGGCAGGCGAAGATAGTCGAGTCTCCCTGGGAGGTGTCGAAAGTAGCAGTGGAGAAGATGATCCTGATGATGGCATTAAGCATGTTTACCATTATGTGAGCATCATTGAAACCCTGAAGGCTTATCTGAAACATGCATAAAATGCAATGATTCAAGTGGAAATATTTGTGCTGCGACAATGATTCATAGCTCGTTGGAAAGGTAATTAAATTCCGCATCTTTTCAGACCTCAGGCGTTTTGATATCTCATCTGGTTCGGCGGCAATACTTAAAAAAAAAACACCAATTTTGGCGTTTTGACCCAGTTTTGAGCCCTCCCCTAAAGCTGATACAATTTTTTCCGGATCAAATGCGACTCGTTAAGGAGGATATTCTTTATGTAGAGATGAAATGACTCAAAACGAGTTGTCCAGTCTCCTCAGGATGCCATACTCCCTGAATAACCGGGGGTAATGAATTAAATAATGAAATTTGCAAGGAAAACTGTTCGGATAAAGTTCGACCCACAAGGTATGATGCTCATGAATGAGATTTGCTAGTTCATCGAGTACCACATCGGTCACTCTAAAACATAAAACAATGTCACTTATTTTCAACGCCAACTTGAAGAGTTGCCAGTTTTTGTTGTCTTCTGGAATGTAATGCCCAATCATGAATGGCAAGAGCCTAAAAAGATTCCATTTCTCAGCAGCTGTACCCCCAATGCCTTTTTTTTTGATGCCCAATCTTTTGGAAATGTAGGTGGCTTGTTTTTTGAGTCATTTTGTTTGTTTTTTGGGAAATGATATTACAGCTGGACTCATTCATTGTTAGGGCCTTACTATAGTAATCGATTTTTAGTCACTTCAGTTCATACGGACGAGACGAGTGCCCTACAGTGCCCTGAGTACCGATAGTTCGCATTTTTATCAAAACATGTGTTTTTGGCGTCCAAATCCTAACGTGTGAACGGATCCCGGGGTACCCCGTGTGCTTAAAACGGGAAAGGGGTCCTTAGAAAAGATGATTCGGGGTATGGTTCGGGTGCGGTGACGTCAGGATGGCCGTAACTGTTTAAAGCATGACCAGACGTTTCCATTTCCGTCTCGGAAACATCATTTGGACATCAGGTTCAGTTTCTATGGCTGTTTTTAGAAAAACCCGTAAAAGTCGAATTTTCGAATTTTCAACGTCGATGCGCGAGGGTCAAGCTTTAAGTAGCAGACCTGGCCTAGATCGCGTTGAGTTTGTATTGCCATGAAGTAACTTTGGCGCACTATTACGTTTGCGATATCGAAAAATCGTGTTTCACGGCCCACCCTAGTATTTACTTTAGGCAGAATTGCGGCAAATGTGAAGACCTGTCACAGATCGGGTATGATAGATGGGTAAGTCAAAATTTAAGAGTTGTAATTTTGGACAAGGAATCTGATTTTGCCGGTACAAAGACCCTTGGTGAGCTCTGAAGTTGAAAATGGGCTATTTTTAGGTGGTTTTCACAAAAATACATAGATTTGGAGTTTACCCAGGGTCTCCGTACCGGCAAAATCTGATTCCTTTTTCAAAATTACGCATCGAAAACTTTGACTAACCCATCTATCACATTTATTACCCGATCTGTGACAGGTCTTCACATTTACCGCAATTCTTCCTGAATGCTCCCAGCATAGGGCATTTTGGGGACGTAAGGTGCAATACACTGTGGCAAAAAGCCACGGAAAATCCTGTAAACAGCTTGTGGTAATTCTCCGTAGCCCCCTCGTCAATATTCTCCGTAGCCTCGTACCGTATTTTCCGTAGGACCGCACAGTATTCTCCGTACGACCTGACAGTGTTCTCCGTAGGACTATACAGTCTTCCAGGTCCTACGGAGAAGACTGTGCGGTCCTGGAGAATACTGTACGGCCCTACGGCGAATACTGTAAGAGCCTACGGAGATTATTGATAAGAGGGCTACGGAGAATCCTGGCAAAAAAATAAACAGAATTTTCCGTACCTTTTTGCCACAGTGTATGGCTATGGCATTGCACGTATGGTGCGATATCTCAGCTGCATTGCACCTTACGTGCTATACTCATAGCGTTTGGAAGTGGACTACCATTGGCCAAAGAATGGAGGAAATCGTCATCAGTCGTTTTCCACGATCGGACTTCTTTTAAAACAAAATGCCTCTAACATTTTGTCAAGAACCCGAACCCTTTAGCACAATTATTGAGTGCGCCAGGGGCCCAAACGTGCAGTCGTGCACTTACGCCCTTTTGTTCAATTACACTACAAACCTAACTATCTACTAAGTACACACTTACAAATGCGTGCTTGCAAGTACACACTTACAAACGCATGCTTTTGTAAGTGTGTACTTGCAAGCATGCATTTGTAAGTGTGTACTTGACCAAGCATTCGTTTGTAAGTGTGTACTTGCAAGCACGCATTTGTAAGTGTGTACTTAGTAGACAGTTAGGTTTGCAGTGTATCGACATGGCGCACAGGGTTTGGAACAAAAATGAAAGGTGCGGCAGACTCAGGAAACCAAGCGCTACAACATATCAAAAATCCCGCTTTGTCGAATTTTTTCTGTGGGTTCGGGTTCCATTCTGACTAGGCAGCCCGGACTAGTCGAATTTTTTCTGTGGGTTCGGGTTCCATTCTGACTAGGCAGCCCGGACTAGTGGTCAAGTCAAGCGAGTAGCGCCGGGAGGCGACGGGGTAGGCAACACTTCGTGCACCTGCCGGCGCCGGGCGAGAGGCGAGGCGGAGCGTGCCGCGCGTCGCCGTGGCGCGGCCTTGGCCTTGTCTGCCCGCGGACGGGCGGGACGACACGATGCTGCTGCTGCCCACGCGGTGTCGCCACACCAGCCGCAACCGCAGCGGCACACAGTGGGCCGGAAGACCGGTGGAGGCGGCCAAAACTCTAGACGCGTTTTGAGCTCCAGAGTCGCTGAACAGGCCTCGAACAGAACGTGTGACCCCACCTATGGATTCCTCGTTCGAAGAGCAATCCATTGGTAGGGTCACACGCTCGGTTCGAGTGCTGTTTAGCGACTCTGGAGCTCAAAACGCGTCCAGAGTTTTGGCCGCCTCCACCGGTCTTCCGGCCCACTGTGCGGCAGCGCTCTCGCGAAATTGGCGAACACGCGGAATAGGTCCCTACAGTGCCCCCGGCGCATCCTCACAGTAAAAACTGTCCGAAGAATCGCTTCGTTTTACGAAAAGAAAATGAAGCCACTGTAAAATCTACGAAGAAATGCTTCGTATATTGCGAAGCAAAATCCTTCCTAATACGAAGCATTTCTTCATAATTCGAAGCAATTGTACAACGCATTCATTTTCTTTGTACGTTATGAAGCAAAAGCTTCGTTGGCTTTTAAGAGTGCTCGAGAATGGGTCCACGGGCGATGCGGGGAAGCAAAGTTAAATTTAGGTGTTCTTCTTTATGGGAAAAAGATAAAGTACCTTTCATTTTTACAAAAATCATTGAAACATAAGTGCATTAGCAGTCCAACTGTACCTCAATTGTTGGCTCGGTAGGGTGGCCCAAAAAAAATCGAAGGTTTTCCGATTGTCCAATTCCGCTCAAAAATCGATTCTAGACCGAAAAAAAATAACCCCTATTTTTTGCGTTTTGTCCTGAGACGATTTTGAATACCGGCTCAAAAGCAAAAATGGTTTTTAACCCGTTTTAAGCACCAAAATTGTCATAACAATTACAGTTTTTATCGGATTTTCAAAAACGAAACGGCAAAATGTTCGGTTTTAGACGGCGAACAAATTACATTTCCACCATTTTTTTGTCAGACTTCGTCTTCAGTATTCTGCTTGCGATTTTCGCTCAAAAAGACACACATTGTTCACTATTTGGATATAATTTTCTTGTTTCGGACGGCCGAGATGGGTCCCTATCCACTTTTTTATCTTACCCTATCCCAAAACAAACCGATCACGTGAAATATAGGCGTGCAAATCAATTTGCCTACCATCCAGGGGCGAGCATTTCGTTGTTTTCAGTATAAAGAAAAGACTGTTGAGCTCTGAGGCCGCAATTTTCCTCCGATCCTCAAACCCGAGATGTCATTTTGTTCAGTTTTTTAAGACAAATAAAAAAGATTCTGGTCATTTTTTTGTCAGACTGCGTTTTAAGGTCCGTTTCTGCTTGTAACGTGCAAAAATCGCCCAAATTCGAATTTTTTGCCCACTTTTGGACCGTTTTTCTTGTCAGCGATCCACGTGACCAGCCGATGATCACTCTTTCACCTTCCCTAGCCTTTCTGGAATGGCTGGAATTAAGAAGAGCCAGGTCCAAGACACGAACGAACAGGTCCAGGCAGGATTTGGCGGGGTTAGAATTTTTCTTCAAGGGTAAATAAGGCCAGCCCGGACGGTTTTGGGCTCGTGTGAAAAGTTCAGCAAAAGTGGGAGTGTTGCAACAGCTTTTCGACGGCTCCGAAAATGATACGCGCAACTCAGGCCGCCGCTTACAACTAGAGTAACTGGCGGCCGCGCTGAGAACCCGCGCATCGCTTCCCGGCGGCGTCCGCGCTAGGTTATGTTTGACACGTTATATCTCCTAAACCGTTAGAGTTAGATGGGTAGTGTAAGCGAGCCGATTGTAGATCTAAGTTAGAACTAAAATCGGCTCGCTTACACTACCCATCTAACTCTAACGGTTTAGGAGATATAACGTGTCAAACATAACCTAGCGCGGACGCCGCCGGGAAGCGATGCGCGGGTTCTCAGCGCGGCCGCCAGTTACTCTAGTTGTAAGCGGCGGCCTGAGTTGCGCGTATTATTTTCGGAGCCGTCGTTTTGTCCAGTTCTGACCGGTATGGAGAAGGCTGAAAGTTTTGGTGAAGATTTTCTCTATAAAAGAGGAAATTCGTCTAAATATCTAAGGCACACACTAAATGTTATGTACAATTTTGTACGAGACATCACAGTTTTTTGTGCACACGAAATTTTCGTACTGCACATTGCACATTTTGCGCTATTTTTGTACAAAATTGTACAAAATTTTGTACAAATTCGTACGAAAAGTTCGTGTGCACAAAAAACTGTGACGTCTCGTACAAAATTTGTACAAAAACATACAGTGTGCAGGCATTTCCAAAAGGCTTGTTTTAACGTCTGCTGCAAGGAGAATCTTCACTATACGACTTTTGAAGTGTAAAAAAATCAAGCACCAGTTTGTGCGAAAAGTTTATCTGGAACTGGGGCCGGGACCAGACAGCGTGCTGGGGCCGAGTGACCTTGACTCGCTGCCCAAATTGCCGCGTCGGTGTCGGCCGGTGCCAGCGATACGCAGACAGCCTTTTCTTGGAACGCGTGCGGCGCCGGAGCTATTATTGCCTCCTCGGGCAATTTTGCTGCTCAGCTGAGCTCTGATACCAAGAGTCGTTTTCGTCTCCCCCCCCTCTCTCTCTCTCTCTCTCTCTCTCTCTCTCTCTCTCTCTCTCTCTCTCTCCCTCCCTCCCTCTCTCTCTCCCTCTCTCCCTCTCTACCTCTCTCCCTCTCTCCCTCTCTCTCTCTCTCTCCAGTGCGGAACCCTGCTTACCGTCGATGACGCGGTCCATGTAGGTGAGCTCGCCGAGCGCCTCGTAGGTGAGCTTGCCGCCGTGCTTGGCCAGCACGCGCTCCACCTCGGCGCGCGCCTTGTCCTGCACGTCCGGGTTGTGCGCCAGCTCCGTCATGAGGTTGCCCAGCGCACTGGAGGACGTCTCGAAGCCCGCCAGGAAGAAGACGAAGGCCTGCGCCGGCAGCAGGTCCTCGTCGATGCCGCCTGGACAGCGGGAGGGAGATTTAGACGCTATGACGCCTTACACTCTCAGCCTCATATGGACTTTTGATTCCCTTGCTTATAAAGTTTTTTGAGCAGACGTAAATTCACTGCAAAGCCAGTGGTAAGTTTACTTGCCACAAATTTGGCAAGCCGTTTTGAATGCCAAATTTGGCAAGCTTCGGTCGGAAATCTTCACAAGCTTGCCAAATTTTGGCTAGCTGGGCGGTATTTTCAGGCCAAACTTGCCAATTTTTGGCATTCAAAACGGCTTGCCAAATTTGAGGCAAGCAAACTTACCAGCGGCTCTGCAGTGTTGTACTATTTTCTCATTAGCTATGCACAATTTTGATAGTTTTTAAGTCAAAATTGTCAATAGATTATGTAGAAATCGTAAAAGTAAATTGCAATTGACAAAAAGTCAGATTTTATGGACTGAATACCATATTTTATGAACAAAAACGTGCAAAGCTACAGAGAAAATAGTACATATTACGTTTGCACAGAAAAGTGTTTGGCAAGAGATAAAAAGTCAATACGAGTCTGAGAGAGTAGTAGCTTAATTAATTATTCCATATATATTGTACATGATAGACTATTTACTAAGGGCTATTTAGCCGGCTCCAATTTTACCCGTTGCATGCACTGAGAATGAATGGGTCACCACCATCACCCTTTAGATGGGTGATGTAACTTCGTTACCCAATTTTGGAAGACGAAATATTCATCACCCGAAATTTTGCAACCGTTTAGGACACCCAAATATATGTGGCGTTGAGGCCTCCGGGTCTCACCGCGGCCTCAACGCCACATGGCTGTCATCGCGGTGGACCCGGAAGGACGCCATCGGGGACCTCACGGCATCGTCGACGTTACCCAAACTTGGGCGACCTAACGCCGGTTACCAAATTTCGGGTGATAAATGTTTCGTCACCCAAAATTGTGCAACGAAGTTGCATGACCAATTTAAAGTGAGATGGTGGTGACCCATTCATTCTCAGTATGTGTGTGTCAGTTTGGTGTTCTCTGCACTGTTATTCAACGAATGTGACATCCTATTGGTTAGTATGTGAATTTTGTCACGTTCGTTTGGGGGTATTGCATTTGTCTATAACGTCACGTTCAAACAAATGTGACCCCTATTTACAGCCGTTTCAAGTTCGAACGAATGCCGTGTTCAAACGAACGTGACCAAATTCACATTTAAACGAATATAACGTCACATTCGTTGAGTAACAGTGAACAGTTTTACGAAACGAAGGCAGCACCACTTTACCTGCGGCTTCCGCTCTGAGGGTGCCGTCATCCTCTGCCAACTGGCCCTTAGTCTTGATTTGCATCAGCAAATCGACGAAGTCGTGACGCAATACGTTGTTCTTCTGTCGGTGCTGTATAGTCTCTTGAAATACACTGCAGGACAGAAATTGAAGTAGTATGAATTACAATTAACTTGAGGCATGAATCTCGGGAAAACGACAATTCGGCTTTCAAAACTGTATTGAAAACACTTTGCAGACCCTTGCAGAAGGGCACTAGAAACGTGAAACTTTGGGCATTTGGATCGAAACTGTTACAGAATGTTATCTACACCATTTTGTGTAAAATAGACATGCTATGTTATAGAGAAATTTTTATCTTTTTAGTGTGTGTCAATATTGTTAACTTCGAAATTATTGAAAAATAAAATGTACGAAAGAACTGACCCGTTGAAGAAGTCGGCCACTTTTTTGTTGATGAGACGGACTGAGAAAACCTTCTTGAAGAAAGGAAGCAACTGGGGCACCACCAGCAGGAACGCCATCGCCATCTTGGGGATCTCGAAGGCCTTCCTGCCCATGAGGCGGAACTCGGCTTGAGGGTCCTTCAGCGCGTTGGCCTGCCGAGTTGAAGTGAAGTGCACTGTCAGAAATTTTGTCGTAAATTAGCGACGAAAATGTCGCTAATTTTGATAGCGACGGAAATCGTTCACAAACTACTTCGTCGTAACTGAACGACTAAAAAATCGTTTTTCTACGACAATGTCGTAATCGCGATTAAATATTTTGGAGTCTGAAATCCCCGAAAAGTTGGTCAAAAGTTACAATTTTGCTCGTTTTTTTTTACGATTTGTGTCGTTTATTTACGATTCATGTCACAAATTTACGACAAGAGTCGTAAATGTACGACTGAAGTCATAACTGCACGACATATTCCATCAATCAATTACGATCGTTCGTAAACTTACGATTAAGTCGTAAATTTAGGACTTAATTCGTTTCAAAACGGAACGTCTCGCTATCAAAATTAGCGACAGATGTCGTAAATTTACGACTCGAGTCGTATATTTACGACTTGAGTCGTAACAAAATATGTCGTTTAATAACAGGAAAAGTAGCGATATACATCGGCAACTTTGGCCCGTCCCGTACATTAAGAAACGTACGAATTTCACCTATGTTTGACCCCGACGGAATTAAAACCTGAATCTGGGGTTAAAATTAATGTCATTTTCGTCATCAGCACCCTTAAAAACATCAGAAACAATGCAAAAACTCGAATAAAAAGAATGTTCAAAAAATACCCCGCTGGGATTTGAACCCGGGTCCGAACTTCTCCGATTCGCTCGAAACTGGCACCATTGTTTTTTTCTCGTCACCCCGGTTCCAAAAATACCCCTACATGCCCTCCTAGCTGCATCCGTTGCCGAGATCCTCCTCGACCCCATGTAGACCATGATGCACCTGCAGCAGCGCCCCCGGGGCTCGGATCGGATTTGCTGCCACCGGGCGGTTCTTAGGGTCACCCAAGGAGGCTGCATACCAAATTTGGTCAAGATCGGACCACGGGAAGTCCTCGGACGAACGGACGGACGGACGGACGGACGGACGGACGCACAGCAGGGATCATACTATATGCCCGTCCCTCCGTCATTTTTTTACAAAAAATGAACGGGACGGGCCAAAAACGACATAATTGTTCTACAAAGTGTCGTAAATTTACGATTATATTTAACAGTGTGCGTTGAGACACAAGCTGTACCTTCACCCTGAATTACCACGAAGTTTTTTTTTGTGCATAGCGTTTGCACCAAGTAGAGCGTGCGCGTGAAACGCACTAATTCGTGCGCTACAATTGTTAACGCGTTGAAGCGTTAACGAACACTTTCGAGCTTATGCATAAAAAAAAATACAAAAACTACGTAGTCATTCGATGTGCGTACATAACGAAGAAAATATGGGTAAGTTACGAACACCAAGGACAAGGTTTTCTTTTGTATTGCGGACTAAAACATGTATTTTAAACTTGATTCCAATAATGGCTGCACACTTAATTCTTTTGTACAATTTTTGTACGTGGTCTCGTGCGCACAGAGGTGCTTTTCGTACAGATTTGGACGCAGAATCGCACAAAATTCTGCTTTTAATCGTACAAATTTGTACAAAAAGTCAGCATGTTCAAAATTGAGTGAGACCTCGTTCGAAACTGTTCAAATACATTTAGTGTGTGCGCTATAAAGCCCGGTGGGAGCGGTTTTTGTGGCACTCACCTGGATGCCGAAGGCGCAGGTGCCGATGACGTCCGTGGTGAAGCGCGCCAGCAGCTCGAACATCTCGACGGGCTTGCCCGCGGCGGCCTCGGCGGCCAGGACGTGCTGCAGCTCGTCGGCGCACGCGCTCACCAGGGGGAACATGGCGCGCATGCGGCCCGACGTGAAGGTGGGCGTCAACTTGTGGCGCAGCGACCGCCACTCGGCGCCCTGCAAGCGATCAATCAAATCGTTAATCCGAAAAGTGCACTGTTAACAGTAAATTAGCTGCCCCTGGTCTTACAAGTTGCCAAAAGAATCGGTCACCTTCGACCGGGTGTTTCGGCCTCAATGTCTAGACCGTTCGATTCAGAGGATTACCGGCTGACAGCGACCGGACTCTTTTGATACGGGTGGTACGCGGTCAAAAGACTCCTGCGGAAATCTTCCACGTCTTTACTAGAGGCTATCCATAAAAACGGGAACTGTTAAATTTTACGTGTTCTTGAGGAGGCCAGAAGGTCAAATTTACCACTTTCGGGACTCTTACCTCAAGGTTGAACAGGTTGGCCGTGAGCGGCTCCCCCTGGCGGTCGTAGGGCAGTCCGCGGTCCATGAAGTGCGAGAAGTCCTTCACCATGACCGCGCGGATGAGATCCATATCAGTTAGCAGCAGAACGGGTCTCGAGCCGATGAATAGCCCAACGCACGGTTGATCCTGGCAAACGGGACATTTTGAGAATTCGGCCAGTTTCAAACAGAATCACAGTAAGTCCACTACAAACCTAACTGTCTACTAAGTGCACACTTACAAATGCATGCTTGGCGCCGTATAACTCCATGCTATGCATAGACAATTCTAATTGTTTACTTGTACTTGCAAGCATGCATTTGTGTGTGTTGACAGTTAGGTTTGTAGTGTCTGTATGCTGTGCCCGGTTAAGGCCCTCGAGTACGCCTCGACGCCTACCAACTCAAAATGCTCATCTCTGACGCACGAAAACAGCACCAGCTTACTTACTAATTGTACTTGTACAATTGTACTTCGCCTCTCACAATTTTGAGCATGCGAACTTTTTCGCACAAATTGGTACGCAGAAGCGCATCAATTCCGAGCGAAACTGCGTGCAAATAAGTACACGGCAAAAACGGTACCTGGTTTTCCCAGGAAGCCTATGGCAGAGGCATAGGCGATTTCCAGAGAGTTCCTGGGAAAACCAGGAACCGTTTTTACCGTGTACGGAAGGCACGCGTGCTCAAAGTTATGTGAGGGCACGCACTTACTAAATTTGTACAAAGGAATAAGTGTGAGCACTATTACCTTGGCTCGAGCGTCCTTGTAGAAGCGCTGCATACTGTAGCCTCGATATTCACTTTGAAGTACGAATGGGATGGAGCTTCCGAAGATTGGAACTCCCGGAGCGGAGGGCACGCCTTTCCGCGACCAGAACCCCGCAGTCCTATAAGCAATGACACATTCACTTTCATTATGAGAATTTCCAGGAACGTGGCATCGCGTTCATTTGTGGTTCGTATGTTGTTCGCGCTGAAACGAATGTAACGAAGTGTCACGTTTCTTTGAACATTGTGTCACATTCTTTTGCACGTGAATCGGCCGCACCGATTAGCCTATTCTTATCCAAAAACGAATGTGACACATAATGCTCAAAGGAACGAGAAACTTGGGCATTCGTTTAGACGCGCGATGTCATGGAATGAGTTTGTTGTAAAATTAGCACAGGAATAATCATTTCAGTACGGTGTTGGCTGGCCTTCACGCCGAAAACGGTCCCTTGTTTTCAAGCGCGGATCCGGGGTGGGGTGGGGGGGTGGGGGTGGGGGCAAAAGGACAATTCCCCTCCCCCCCCCTTGACCCCTAGATAGCCGCCTGAAAGGTAGGCAAAAAGTACCAATTTGCCGCTGTAAATAGGCAAAAAGTGCTACTTCCCCCCCCCCCCCTTGGGCCGACTCTGGATCCGCCACTGCTTGTTTTCCAAGGCACTCCCTGGCAATCACCCGTGTCTTTGCTCCTAGGAGCCGTTTCTACCGTTTTTCGAAATGCTTTAAGCTCTCTGCGAATGTGAGCTCAGATTCGTTCTCACCGTAATCACGAAACCGGAAACACCGCATGTACTCACCGATAGTAATGTCGCACGACGAGTAGCACCACGAGGGCAATCAGCACCTCCATGACGCCCAGCGCCGGCACCAGGGCTACCACCGACGACAGCATGGCAGCAACAACCGGGGTTTGGCGTTCGCACCTGGAACTGCCATGAACGTCACCTTGTCAAATTATTACCTTCTTTCAACACACTAAAATGTTTTTGTACAAATTTTGTACGAGGCATCACAGTTTTTTGTGCACACGAACTTTTCGTAGAAATTTGAAAAAAAAAAAAGAATTGTACAATTTTGTACAAAAATTTCGAAAAATGTGCAGTTTTTCGTACGAAAATTGTACAAAAATTTCGTGTGCTCAAAAAACTGTGATGTCTCGTACAAAATTGCACATAACGTTTAGTGTGAAATGAACGCCAAATTCTCAAAAATTCGCAAGACGTTCAATGCACACTTAATTACTTCGTAGTTTTTTTTTGTGCATAGCTTTCGCACAAAATTGAGCATGCGCTTGAAAGGCACGAATTCATGCGTGGCAGCGCACATTTTCCTGGTGAGTTACACACAAGTTTGTGCTTATTAAAACGCATGCAAAATTTTGTGCACAGCTCCTGCTCAAGAAACTACATAGCCATGGAGTGTGTTCGTATTGCAGGTGAAAACGTGTGTATTACAAGCTCCCGTAACATACATGCTAGCGGGAAATTGTCCACACACTCAATGTTTGTACGTACTAATTTCGTACGAAACGTTACGGTTTTTTGTGCAGATGAACGTGACTCTGCCCTAAAATAAAGAAATAGTATGCATTCTTAAAACCTTGCAAACCGATGGGTCTGTAACAGCTTGCGAAGAATCTGACTTGTTTGCAATGCAGGCAAAGAACGCATCCGTGTTGCAAGTCAGTAGTTCACAACTAACGAACAGGTGCTTCGCAATTAACGAACAACCTGCTTGTATTACGAACTCTTGTAAACACATAGTTTGCAAAATCGCACGCTACCATTTCGTGAATCAAGCCAAACTCTTAGCAAGCTGCAAACCAAATACTTTCTAATGCGGACTCTGTAAGGTTCTGAGAGTGCGTTATTCATCGCTCTGTCTCTCTCGCACTCATGGGGCGTCCCGGATAGGCGCGAGAAGGACGGAGCGACGAAAACGACTCTCCGAATCAGTTTGCAGCTGCCACAAACAGCGGCAGCTGCGCGTCGCTTCACGTCAAATTACCAGTGTGTGAGTCGCGGACGGACCAGCAGGCTTCCTCGCGTCGTGCTGCCCGGCGGGACACTGCAAGTGAGGAAGGAAGGGCAGAGCCGGCAGCCGGCACGCGATGGCTCGCCAGGTGGGGCCGTCGCGGGGGCAGTGGTGGGGACCGCGTGACTCAGCACCAGACGGGTTCCGAGAGTCCTTTTCGTCGCTGTGTCTCTCTCGCACTCATGGGGCGTCCCGTACAGGTGCGAGAGAGACGGAGCGACGAAAATGACTCTCAGAATCAGTGTGCTGCACTTGCTCGGCCAGATTCTTTTAGTGCCTTCCTTCCGGATGATAGTGGCTAGGACGGGTTTGGATATGAGGACAGAAGACTGCAGTTTCAGCAACTGCAAATTCAGATTCTTTACTTCTCTTTATGCGCTGTGAGATTTAGCAGGATTGTTCAGTTGTACGTGGAAGTACCGAGGGAAGTACACTTTTAATGTTTTTGGCAGAATTTGGTACGTGTAACTTCACTGTAAAAAATTCCGTACTTTCGAACGGAAAATGTACAGACGAATAGTGTTAGAAATGGTGTTGTAATTTAGCAATGTTGCAGATTTTCTGAATGACCAAAAGTAGTTAACAGATGTTTGTAAACCAGTAGACAGCCTTATGAGCATCAATTTTTGGCCCGTCCCGTTTATTTTTGTAAAAAAAAATGACGGAGGGACGGGCATATAGTATGACGCGTGCTGTGCGTCCGTTCGTTCGTCCGTTCGTCCGAGGACTTCCCGTGGTCCGATTTTGACCAAATTTGGTATGCAGCCTCCTTGGGTGACCCTAAGAATCGCCCGGTGGCAGCAAATCCGATCCGAGCCCCGGGGGCGCTGCTGCAGGTGCATCATGGTCTACATGGGGTCGAGGAGGATTTCGGCAACGGATACAGCTAGCAGGGCATGTAGGGGTATTTTTGGAATCTGGGCGACGAGACAAAACCAACGGTGCCAGTTTCAAGCGAATCGGACAAGTTTGGACCCGGGTTCAAATCCCAGTGGGGTATATTTTGAACATTCTTTTTATTCGAGTTTTCGCATTGTTTCTGATGTTTTTGAGGGCGCAGATGACGAAAATAACATCGATTTTGACCCCAGACTCAGGTTCAAATCCGTCAGGGTTAAACAAAGGCGAAATTCACACATTTGTTAATGTACGGGACGGGCCAAAGTTGCCGATGTATATCGCTACATTTCCTGTTATTATTGTCGATTTAGTCTTAGACCCAGTAAAGTCCGACCCGCAGTAGTCGCTAAGATTGTCCGCGCTGTTTGTACACAGCAAAAGATTGTTTTAAAACGGCCTAAGTCACAAAAATAATAAGCAACAAATTCGTCGTTTTTAAACAAGAAAACTTGTTTTCAAACAACAGCGTAGTGGAAGTTGGTAATTGTGTTGTTGTCATACAACAACCTCCATGATTCATCATCACGATCACCTCCATGGTCAGAGTCACAGTACACTTCCAAAGTGTATGGTTGATTCACAAAGACACCATCTACGTCAATGGTTTCAACATTATGGAACACTTTGACTTCTTTGTTGTTGAATACTACTATTCCACCTTTCTGAGTTACAACATTTACAGAAAGTATCGATTTCATGGGGCGAAACACTGGTAAATGGGTAGTATTTGTTGTTATTGGCACTCCTTTATTCTTCAACACACCACAAACGCAAACTCAAACTACAGCTTCACACCTCAAGCTCTCTCACGCGTCTAACAAGCCTCTGACTCACACCCACGCGCTCCAGCATCCACCCACGCACAGCATCATGGGTAAAACAATACAGAAGTCAAAACTCGCGTCACAACTAAAATCAACTTCATAACTCAAGCAACAATAAGAAATTGATAGTTAATCAAACTTTTAATTACTTTCAATAGAAAGAAGATTTTTTGTCAGGTCAGGGACATATGTTACATTCGTTAGAGTACGTAACACTTTCAGCTTTAACACTTCCCATCACACTAGCCTGCAGTTTCTGCCCTTTCTTGGCCACACCTATTTGGCTGTTTACTGCCAGAACTCCTTCAGTTAGCAATTTTCTTTTCTTTGTCAGATGGGTGTTAGCCCTACTGTCAATCACAAAAATTGAATCCACGGTTACCTTGCATTCTGTCATGTGAGTTTCTGCCATACATGCAGTCTTATAGTTGCCGTTGTTGCTATCATAGTCACTTGGCACAAAGACACCTGGCAAGATACTTGTCCTCAACTTCTTCTTTCATGGTTTTGAGTTCTTGCCCAATACAGGTTATGTGAGCAATGTACGCATGCTACATCAAAATCGTCAAACTTAGCCTGACACAATTTCCGTATCAGCAACACGTACCTGCAGTGACCTTTAGACTTGAATTTGTCGTTAAAAGCCTTCCATGCTTCATGTGCAATCGTCGCAGATTCAACATACTGGTAATTCTGCGGGTCGACCATGAGGCAAATATCACCGAGTGCACGCTCGATGCGACGCGCCGATCCCGTCTCGGTGTCCACATCAGTTCCTTCAACAGCTTTCAACAGACCTTGCCGTCTGAAATAGTTCGTCATGTTTAAGTTTTTACAGGGTGTCCTTTTCTTCCCCAATGCCTGTACTTTTCTTCCCCAGCTGACTGAACTTTTCTTCCCTTAGGAGGGGAAGAGTTGAATGACGCACAGTAAATTGAAATGGCAGAATCTGCAGTGGTCTGAGAGCCCCAAATCGCAGAAACTGACAGGTAAATAGATCCGGGGCGGTTTTGCACCAAAACCGCCAACGGCAAACCCATTCTGCACACAGGCGACGGAATCCGTGCACTCGCCACGGAATCCGGACAACACTGCACCGTAATCGTCAATTGCGATTCCCTCCACCTCGCGACTTTGAGGTGTTATATTATTGGAAATAAAGAGTGTAGATGTACCGCGCAAGGAAAATATTCATTTATAGACTTGTCAAAGCAAGAAAAAGCATGCACACTCATCAAAATATGTAAATAATGTCCAAAACAACCCCTGTCAACTCCCATACCAAAGCACCGTCGCTAGCAGAGCTCGTGACGTCACATTGTCGGCCGCGCTTACTGCCAACTAGCGGCGACAAATTACTCTAAAGACGAGGCCGGTCCGCTTTTTGGTGCTTTTTGCGGACTGAATGTTGGCGAACGTTTCAAAACATAAGCAGACGGCACATTCACCCAGCACTTGGGCCATCAAGCCGTTTCTAGTTCTGTTAAGTCAATTTATTTCTCCATGTAGTTCTCTAAAATGGGTGTGAAAAAGAAATGGTGTTGTGTGAAAGGGTGCAATGTATTTGCCGTGTCGGGGGATGGAAGGACAGTCTTCCATTTTCCTGAAAAAAATCCTGTTTGGTACGTAACTTAACCTGCCGCAACTATTTTTATTTTCCCTATATTCTTTATTGTCTTGTTTATTGTTCGAAGACTATGGATCAGAAAAGTCGGGAACGAAAAGCTACTGTCAACGGATATGAAAACAATAATGACAACAAGATTTGTTTGCCCAAATCATTTCCGTCCAGAAATGTTTTGGGACAAGTTTCATCTCTAATTTTTGGTTTTTCTTTGCATTTAACCCACACTTCACTTCCAAACACTTTCATCAGACTTAGATCTTCTTCTTTCAACTCTCTTCCATACCAGAGTTCAAAGGGAGTTTTGTTGCCGACAACTTGCGACCTCACCCTATTCCTCAAATAGTTAGCATATGTAATTGCAGCTGGCCAAAATCTTTTTGGCAATCCAGCATGTATCAACATACATCTAGCAACTTGCAGTAATGTCTGATTAAGTCTTTCTGCTCTTCCATTTTGTTCAGGATTATGTGGTACAGTCAATCTTCTTTCAATACCAATCTTTTCCAAATATTCATTAAATTCTTTCTTCACATATTCTTCTCCATTGTCTGACTGCAAACATTTAACTTTCTTCTCGTGAAATCTTTCAACCTTGGCTACGTACTTCTGAAAACTCTTCATAGCTTCGGATTTGTGCTTCAAAATTCTGATCTCACTAAAACGAGAATAATCATCGAGAAAAGTAATGAAATACCTGTTTCCTTCTGGTGTCACTTCCTTGATTTGACAAATGTCTGAATGTACCAGGACATCTTCCGTCTTCTTGTCGGTTTCCGGAAACGCCTTTTTCTTTGACTTTGCTTCCAGGCATGTGTCACAGTTTTCTGGACTTTTCTCTACAAATCTCTGGCAGGAGAGGCAACGGCCTAGGGAGAGCGTGAAGCGATGCTCGCGCCGTCAGTGCAGAGGTTGCGCACTTGTTCGATATTATGAAAACTAGACTGTGTTTTTCAAAACACTTTGCACCGATAGAAAGGGCTTGAGATTTAGGGTGTATTAGGCTAATTGCCCTTCTCGAAACTCCTCCCTTACCTTATATTAAGGTGCAGTAAAAACACCAAAAAACACAAAAATCATAAAATTTAGGAAAAAAACTTGAATGCGCCATGTTGGTGTAAATGATTTCGCCCTTGTGTTCGGTTGAATTGGAAGTATCGGGCAGTCTACTAGGCCTAATGCACCCCAAATTTTGTGCTCTTTCGATCTGTGCAAAGCGTTTTGCAATCAACGGCCTAGATCTCACAATCGAAGCAAAACAAGTAACCCCTGCACCTTACTCGCGCATGGCTTCACGCGCCTCCTAGGCCGTTTGGGCACTTAATGCAAATAAAAACACCTCATTATGCGGTAAAATTTTGTTGTATTATGCGGGACTTATGCGACTAAAATGGCCCAAAAATGCGCTTTTTATGCGCAAAAAATCCTTCTTTTCTGCAAAAAATGCAAAAAGGGGCAAAAATTGAAACAGAGGGCAAAATGCATCAAAAGGGTTTAAACAAACCAAAATGGTCACAGTTTAAATTTTTTATTGTGAATATATTAAAAACTTCGATCAGTGGGAACGCAACCAGCCAACCCTCCTCCACTGACAACCTGCACCACGCGAAAAATTCAAATTTTAACTTGTGTTTCTGCTTTAAAACTTCTAAAAACACGATAACCGACCAAAAGAAATAATCTCAAGAATCAATTATAACAGCAAAATGCGCTTTTTGGGTTCAAAATGTGAATTATGCGAGAAAAATGCGTGAATTATGCGCATTATGCGTAAATGGCCAATTATGCGACCATTATGCGATTTATAAATGTGTCAGGCAATGCACCCGGACTCCAAACATATCAAAATTTTTCCATTTGAAATAAGTTTAGAAATTATACAAAATATGCGCTTGCATATAGTGCCCATCCCTAGGCTCCATTAGTGTCTCCTTCCAATGTTCCAAATCCATGTTAGCCATTTGCGGCACCATAGATTCCAGTAAACTGAACAAGTCTTGCATCTGATTTCCTGCAAAAACAGAATAGAAATAAATGACTTCAAGCATGAAAATTTCCATTTACTTTTAAATGAAGGGTGGTAATTTCTATACTTACGCACAAATATTTCGATATCACTTTGTGCTTGTGGTGAGGGTGTACAACTCTTCCCTTTCCGAATTGCTGCCTCGACTGTGGCCAACACAGATGTAACTTCCTCTTGTCTTTTGGCTGAAAAAAATTACAAACATCTGTTAAACATTGTTAAAAAAACAACAACAAAAAAAAACATTGCAGAAGAAGGAGAAAAATTTGGTTTGCATACCCTTGGCCACTGCTTTCAGTTGGTAGATTGTCTGCGGCTTTGGAGTTGGGAGATCAGTGCTGGCAGCAGCTGCACATTTGAGGGCTCTCTTCACAGATTTGTGAAAGGTTGTGGTGGTCTGTGAAGATCCCTCATGGAACCTCCTCAGGCTGAAAAAAAGGGGCAGCTCAGCATCACAATCTGAACCTGTGCGTGCATGAAATACACTGTTAGAAAAAGTGCTGAGAAAACTATTGATTTTAGTGCAGGTGGCTTCAATTTCTACAACACTTTTCTCTCCATCGTAATGACACATTCTTTGAATGATTCTGTGGGGCAACTGTGGTTCATCTACATGGACTATTTTTTACAATACAGCAGACACCATAGGGTCAGTGAATTAACATTTGTTTCTCATGAATTGGTTTTCAGTGCCGTGACAATTTTACGAGCAGTCAGTAACATCACAAATCGGCACTGCCTACCTTTAATATTCACCTTTTTAGTTCCACCTTGCTCTCTAAATATGTATTTGTGAAAGGCCCTCTGCATAGAGTGTGACAAATATTGATTTTTAGACTGTTATTAAAAAATATAAAATAATACAAGTCTATTTAATTTGATTACTATGTCTAAAAGTCACAAAACTAATGTAAACAAGACATGCAGGGATTATATATACATCATGTGCAGATGGCTTCATACAATTGCATGTATAGAAAAAGATTTTTTTTTTAAGGGGAGGTTCTGGTGAAAATGCTATTTTCTCCTAAGTAGGTCCCACTGTGAAACTTTGTTAAAAATTTGATGTCTTATCAAGCATTTATTAAAATTTTTCATTGAGGATGCACATTCTATGCCCTGAACCCTGTCGCAGAGCCTTTTTCTCCCATTTAGGCTATAACTTCAAAAATCTTCTTGCGCATACTATTTTGTCGTAAAAGATTGGCATTGACATTTTTCACTTCTTCGATTCATTTTTAAAAGATGCCGGCATTCACAACTCAAAATGTCAATTGCATTTTTAATCGCAAGCTTCCAAACCAAGCATTTCACTATTATTTATCAAAAAAGTAGGGTAAACTATACAGTTACCGTCAGTTTAAGAGCATCGCTTTCTTTTCAAGGGCCTCTAGGGTAGGTTATAACACTTAGACCCGTGCGACTTGTTCCAGACACCTCAGAAGGATGTAGACAACAAGGTGGCTGACAAAGATTTCACCAAAAACTTTTAGTGACGCTCTTATTTAACCCGAGAAAAAGGTTACCAAAAACACAGTTATCGGCAGCCAAAATACAGTTATCGGCACCCTTAATGACAGTTATCGGCACCCCTTGTTAAAAAGGCAAAACGTGACCGAAAGTTACGAAAATTTCTAACAGTCGTCACAGACACTCTATATCACCCCTTGACATGTCACGAACCCCCTCTCTCTTCTGTTATGCCTCTTGCGCCCTTCATTTTAGACTCACGGACAACTAGCACCATGTGCTGCGAAAAAAAACAACCTTTCAAAGCGCCGAGGAGGACATTTCGTAAACCACGTAGATCACTGGGAAAAAGTGGTCCGATTTCATTCAAATTTGGCAGGGGTCTCCCTATGGTCATAATTCATCAGAATATTAACTCCCGGGCGACACCCGAAACACCAGTGAAGTTTGAGGCCACCCTGACGATAACTGTGTTTGGGGTGATTTCTCTGGTGCAGTTATCGGCACCCCCCGAATGAGGACAAGCAAGAGGAATTTCTGTGCACCAAGCACAGTATGCCCTCTTCAATAGATGGGGAGAAGGAACCTGGAAAAGAGATTAGTTTTTTCCGGCCCACATTCACGAATTTAACGAAAGATTGAACCCCTGTTCCTAGCATAGAAGATAAGAACGGGCGGTCGAAGCGACCTCTTTCTGCACTTGACAAGAAACATGGCTCTGTTGGCTGACATGCTCAATCGAACGCGATGCTGTCTCGGTCCTGCATGCCCAAAAGGTGTCTCTAGCGACCTGCATTGGCCGCATCACTAACGGACGCGTACTTGCAGAGCAGGACCCAATTATTCGCCGAGATGACGATAACTGTACCCCTGCCGATAACTGTATAGTTTACCCTACAAAATAGACAAATTTTTGGGACTTTTCAGCTTAAAAAAGCTAATAATTAATAATATAATGGAAGTTTTGAGCTATGCATGCCCGAATCTTTTAAAAATGAATCGAAGAAGTGAAAAATGTCAAGGTCAACCTTTTATGACAAAATAGTATGCGCAAGGAGATTTTTTAAGATACAGCCAAAATAGGCTCAAGAAGACTCTTCGACTGGGTTTACAGCCTGGCATGTGCCTTCAAAAGTTAAATTTTAGTCTTCTCGAAGGAAAATTTTATATTCCGAACAAATTATGACTGTGGGATCCATTTGGAAAATGGCAAGATTTTCACCAGAACCTCCCCTTAAAGTGACTCTTGATGGAAAACAAAGCCAAATTTGAAACTACTTGCTACTCGTAAAATGTCATGAGACTCAGAACCAAAACGTGTGACTCAAATGCCAAGAACAGGATCCTTTCAGGATGTTTCGTGTTACGCAAATAAGAAGCCATTCCCTATATATGAACAAAAACAGATGCCCAAAAGAATCATACGCAGAGCTTACACTGAAAAAACAACAGAGCCCTGAGCAAGAGAAGGACAGAGATATTTGCGCTTTTGAAGCGGAGTGGACTGGCACTGGGATGGTATTAAACTACCTGACAAAATTTCTTGAAGTAGTCCCTTCTTTTCTTCCTCATTCACTACTAACTTGGCATTTTCCCGTTGCTGGGAAAGACACTGTGCCTGAAGGAACGGCGTTCACTGTACCTTGGAAACTGTTCAGACACTGCATTCAGTATAACTGTAAAATAAAGGGTAAACTTTAAAATCGCGATAGGAACAATATGATGACGGATATTAATTCATCTCAACAAGACGAACAAAAAATGATGCGCATGTTATGGGCTTAGACTCGAGATTCAACAGCAAAAGGCGTCAGAAGTCTAAAAAGGTAGGGTTATGGACCGTAATTTGATAAGTCGGATGTTTCAGAGTCCAAAATCCTCCTTCTTTTAGACTTCGGACGCCGATTTCCGTTTTATTATGAGTCTGGACCCATAACATGCTTATCATTTATTGTTCGTCTGATTGAGATGAATTCATTTCCGTCATCGAATCGTTCCTATCGCGATTTTGAAATTTGGCCTCTATTTTACAGTTTTACTGAAAGCACTGTCTGAACAGTAACAGTTTCCAAGGTGGATGCGGTTTCTCAGGGTATAGTGAACTCGGTACCTTGAGCCTCAGTGTCTACTGTATCCCAGGGTACGGTATAGTACACCGCTTCTTTCGATGAAAAGTGCAGAGTGACATTAGAATTCACAGCCACAACCATCATTATTTCTCCAAGTGTACCACACTGTGGGAAAAAATCACAGTAAGCCTAAATCCTGTAGTGATTAGTACAGCTGTCACTGTAGTTCAGAGTACAGGATATACTGTACTTTTTTTTACAGGATCTACTGTACTTTGTACGGGATGTACTGTACCACAGGAGTGGAGTAAAATAGTATAGCCAGGCACAGTCAAACCTGTGTTCTGAACTACAGTACATCCCGGCAAAAAAATTAACGGGATTCACTGTGGTTTTTTCGCACAGTGCAGACGCTCGGAATGCCGTTCGCGGCCCTAGCTCAGCTCCTCTTCTTTTGTTCTCGCCACGGTGGTCCTGGCCTGGGTTCGGCCGCCTCGGCTCGGCTCCTTCACCCTGCCTCGGCTGCTCGGCTCGGCTCTGTACTCGCTCCTCCTTCCCCGCGCCTCACCCCTCATCCGCCGCCGTGCGCCGCAGCAGGGGCGCGCTGCTGCAGTAGTAGCAGGACTTCCTGGAAACAGAGACGGCCGACTGCCGGCCGGCAGAG